TTTTTTCTTTTTGCTTATGTGGTGCTGAGGAATCGAACCCAGGGCCTCAGGCATGCAAGGCAAGCGCTCTACCACTGAGCCACCTTCCCAGCCCCAGAATGAGAAAATCTTCACCAGCGATTCAAAAGCTAAAGGATTAATATCAAGAATATACAAAGAGCTCAAAATGTAAACAGTGAAAGAACAAATCTGATTAATAAATAGAAAAACAAGCCAGGCCTGTAATCCCAGGTACTCAGTGACTTAGGAGGTTGAAATCTGAGGATCTCAACTCAAAGCCAGCCTGAGCAGGGAAGTCCTGAGACCCTTATCTCTAATTAACCACCAAAAAACAGAAGTGGTGTTGTGCCTCAAACTGGTAGAGTGCTAGCCTTGAACACAGAAACTGGAGCCAGTGCCCTCAATTCATGCCCCAGGACCAGCACAAAAGAGAGAGGAAAAAAACTTCCATGACAAGCTGGGCTTAGTAGTTCACACCTGTAATTCCAGCACTTGGAAAGCTGAGGTACAGGTCTGTGAGTTTGAGGTCTGCCTGCCCTACCAATTGCTCAAGGCAAACTTGGCCTTATTGTGTAAGTGAGGGCCAACTTTAAAACAGGAAAAAAAAAAAGCATGACACATTTTTTCAGTTGGTCATTCCTTTCTCTTTTTACTATGTATTACCTTAAATTTCTCCCCTGATTTCTGTACCAATCTTCAATCTTCTGGTCCCAATTTTCCCCTACAATAAAAAAAAAATCACAACAAGTAGTTAGCACTTAAAACATAGTAGGATCCAAGTTCACGTTGGGTGACAACTATGCTTACTTTGTTTATGAAAGGATTCCAGCCAGGCACTAGTGGCCCTCATCTGTAATCCTAGCCCTGCAGGATCTGAGGATCTCAGTTCAAAGCCAGCCAACGCAGGACAGGAAGTAGCCCTGGGGCTCAAAGTGGTAGAGTGCCAGCTTTGAGTGAAAAAGGTCAGGGACAGCTCCAGTCCTGAGTTCAAGCCCCAGACTTGAGACACACACACACACACACACACACAAGATTTCCTCTCCCCATTTCAAATCACGGCACAGCATTAACAGGCAAAAACCACCACATCTTCTGATTAAGCCCAGCATTCAAGCCCCACAACTCTCTCTCTCTCTCTCTCTCTCTCTCTCACACACACACACACACACACACACACACACAGAATTTGTCATCCTTACCTATAGAGGCCAGGTTCATAAAGATTTCACCCACGACCTCTCCATAGAGATTTTTCTGGGCAGAATCAAGCAAAGCCCATTCCTCCAATGTGAAGTTCACCACCACATCTTCAAAGAGCACCAAATCCTGAAACATGGCAGACAGGTTCCAGGAAAGTGATTTCCATGGAACACAGAAGACTCCCAATTCTATTCACACTGAGTTCACATACTGCGCTGCGCCCACTGCGCACAGCCTGGAGGAAAGAATCCCATGGGGAGGATTCTCACTCACCTGCAGCCGCATTTACGCATTTACTTCCTCACAGAGCAGCAGTACCAAGGACACATGCAACCAATGACATTTTGGTTTGATGGATTAAGACAGGGCCTTGCTATGTAGCGTAGGCTGGCCTCTAACTCTTGACCTTCTTATCTCAGCCTCCCCAGAACTGAAATTATAGATGTGAGTCACTATGCCCAGCTTGATCTATATGCTTTTGTTGCTACTGTATTTACCACAAGTCTTTTTTTTTTCTCTGTCAGTCATGGGGCTTGAACTCTGGGCCTGGGCGCTGTCCCTCAGCTCTTCAGCTCAAGGCCAGCATTCTACCACTTGAGCTACAGCGCCACTTCCGGTTTTCTAATGGTTTATTGGAGATAGGAGTCTCACGGTCTTTCCTGCCTGGGCTGGCTTTGAACCGCGATCCTCAGATCTCAGCCTCCTGAGT